ACTGTACTATGGGTGCTGAGCCATGATAGCACTTTTTTTTTTGCAGTTTTTGGCTGGAGCCGGGTTTGAACCCGCCACCTCTGGTATATGGGGCCGGCACCCTACTCCTTAAGGCACAGGTGCCACCCCATGATAGCACATTTTTATTTATCCCTTCATCAGTTGACAAGCATTTAGTTTTTTCCCCATTTTTTGGCTATTGTGCTGCTATGAAGTTCATGTACAAATATTTGTGATGTTTTCACTTCTCTTGGGTTATGCCTAGGAGCAAAATTGCTAGCTCATATAAGTAACTGTTCAACCTTTTGAAGAATGTACCAGGCTGTTTTCTAAAGCATCTGCACAATTAAACATTCCCACCAACAGTATATGAGGGTTCCAATTTCTCCACATTCTTACTAATAGTCTTACAGCTGTCCTAGTGGGTGTGAAGTGACATCTCTTTGTGATTTGCGTTTCCATTTCCTGGACACTTGATGTGAATATACATTCATATTTTGTGGCCATTTGCATGTACTTTCTTTGGAGAAAAATCCATTCAAATTCTTTACCTATTTAAAAAAAAATCTGGCTATTTGTCCTACTAAGAGTTCCTTGCATAGATGATTTCTGTTCAATAAATCATCTTTCACTTACTTGGTATCCCTTCAAAGAATAAGTCTTTTTAACTTTGATGAAGTCCAATTTATTTTCTTTTGCTGTGTTTTGGTGTCTTAAGAAACCACCGTCTAAAACAATCCAAGTCTCCAAGATTAATTCTATTTTCTCCTAAGAGTTTTGTAGTGTTACCTTTTTTTTTTTGTATACTGAATCTCACTTTGTCGCCCTCCATAGAGGGCTGTGGTGTCACACAGCTCACAGCAACCTCCAGCTCCGAGGCGCTCTGAGGCGATTCTCTTGCCTCAGCCTCCCGAGTAGCTGGGACTACGGGCGCCTGCCACAACGCCAGAATTTGGCTGGGGCCGGACTTGAAGCCACCACCCTTGGTATATGGGACTAGTGCCCTACCCACTGGGCCACAGGAACAGCCCTTTTTCCTTTTTTTTTTTTTTTTGAGATGAGGGGGTCTTGCTACATTGGCCTGGCTAAAGTGCAGTGGCATCATTACGCCCACTGCAGCTTCAAACTCCTGGGCTCAAGCAATCCTCCTGCCTCAGTCTTCAGAGCAGCTAGGACTACAGGCAGAAGCCAACACACCTGGCTAAAGTTTCTGTTTTTTTGCAGAGATGGGGGTGGGGAGTTTCATTATGTTGTTCAACCTGGTCTCAAACTCCTGGCTTCCCAACGTGCTAGGATTCTAAGCGTGAACCACCATGACTAGCTAGCATCACTGCCTAAATTTTAAGTCCTGACTCATTTTGAGTTAATTATTTTGCATATGGATGTCCAGTTGTCACAGCACTATTTGCTGGAAAGTACGAAGGATAAATTTTTAAAAGGAATGCTTTTCTCTGAATAACAAAAATGACAAAGATGCAGAGTAGAAATTATAACCAAATTACCCTATTAATGTGAATATGAATGATTTCAATGTAAGGCTTTTTTTTTTTTTT